CCATAGGGCATGGACACTTGACAGAAAGAGACTGAGAACTCACCTCTGAGAGGGGTGGCTAGGTCACGATCTCTTCTCTTCCATTCTCCTGGGATTTGGGGTGAGCACATGCACACACGCACATGCCCAGTGTGATTTTCAAGTCACTGGGTCCAGGACTAGAATTGCAGTTGGCCACGTGGGAATCCAGCACCTTAACCACTACGCCATCTGCTGGCACTGGAGTCCATCCTCTTAACCCCACAGACTGCCTCTCACCAAAGACTCACGAGTCTAGAAATACTTCCATTTTGATTTCTATCAAAATATACATGTTATTTGTCCAGTTATAATATTAATCTCTAGTATAATATATGGTAGAGGGAGACTAAAAATTATTTTAATTTTTATGCATTTTATGTTATAAATTTCCTTTACTTTGTTATAGTTGTTGCTATTTTTAAAGAATTATTTTTTAGTTAACTTTATCTGTTATTATCATTATTTTCCAGTTTGATCAGAGAGAGATAGAGAGAGAGGGAAAGTGAGGAGGCAAGTGACCAGGTCTGGGACTTGAACCATGGTTGGTCATGTGGAAGTCCAGCGCCTTTAACCACCACGCCACCTGCCAACCCTGTCGTTTTGCTATAGGGTGCATGCACTCACCAAAGACAGAGAGAGAGGAGGGGGAGGAGTGAGAAACCATCCCCAGGGAGGATGGCCATGCTGCAACCCCTTCTCCTCCACTCACCTCTCGGGATCTGGGACATGCACGCACATGTGCCCCGTGCAGTTTTCAGGCAGCCAGGTCTAACAGCGCAGTCAGCCATGTGAGACCGAGTGCCTTAACTTTCATACCATCTGCTGGTAATACACACTCTAAATGTTCTGCAGGGTTTTACTTCTAGCAAGAAAAGAAATCCCCGACTTCCTATGACACTAGCTTTCGAGAGACAGCCTGGGACTATCCAGATGGAGAGAGAAGCAGGAGGGAGAACTGACCTGGGGTTCGGCCAGCCTGTGGCCTGGTGGCTACATGAACTGGATCCCACATGGCCGAATGCACAGTTCAAGTCCCAGACCCAGCAGCTTAAGAAACGCCTGGTGTATGTGTATGTGCTCAAAATCCCAAAAGCAGGGGCAAACAGAGGAGAGTGGATTGTGGCATGACCATTCCCCACGAGGGGTGCTTTCCTGCTTTCTCTAGTAAGTGCACACACCTTCCAGCAAATTAAGATAAATAAATAAAATTTAAAAAATAAAATGGGGTCTGGGTCAGCAGGTGGCATGGAAATGAAGACACTGGGTCCCATATGGCCAACTTTGCAGTTCAAGTTCCGGACCTAGTGGCTTGAGAATCACACCAGGCACATGTGCGTGCATGCCCAAAATCCTAAGAGGAGAATGGGGAAGGGATTATGGCATGGCTATCTCCCTCAGGGTCAGGGAGATCTCTCTGCCAAGCACACATGCCCTAAGCGAAAACTAAAAAATAAAATAAAATGGAGTCCTCTCAGAGTCTGTAGAGAGCAGTGACTCAGAGGAGGATTTGGACCCTTGCATTCTTATCTTAGCTGTTTGGTTTTTCTGCTGTGTGATCTTGAGTCCCTTTCTTCTCTTCTCTGGGCCATTTCCTGTCTGCAAAAGCTGTCCCCAGAGAGGTTCTTGCACGGGGTTGCCCAGGGTCCTGACTCAGAGCAGGGGGAGCTTTGTAGCCTACCCCCACCCTGACTCCCCACTTCCATGTCTCTCAGTTGTCAGGCCTTAAAGTTTCCTCCAGTGGAAGACGCTGCTCCGGAGCCCCAAAGCGCAGAGCTACTTCCCTATTGGAAGGAAACCCCAGAGCAGGGGCTGCAAACAGGAAATGAGGTGCCTGCTCTCCGCGGACACCTGCTGTTCACTTTTTAGTGCACGTGACCGTGGTCCGACTGGAAGCCGCGATCAGCTCACGGCGGCAGCCCCGGGGCCCAGCACAGCGCTGTCTCACACGATCGGTATTTGTAGGAATGAACAGGTCAAGGGAACGGATGACGTGCAGCCTCCCCAGCTGCCAGCGCACGGGCCAGAGAGCAAGTAGCAAACATGCCCAGGCCGGCCTCCGCTCACCTTGGCCAGCACTGGCGAAGTGGTTGTAATACTGCGACACGTAGGTCATGATGCTGAGGCAGTCGGGCACCCTCATGGAGACCATGTCACGGGGGTCCAGGAGGGCCGGGATCCCCAGCTCCTTCTCGGCCACTTCGAAGGCCTGGGGTGGGGGCAGGAGGAGGATGAGGAGGAGGCAGTGTTAGCGGGTGGCCCTCAGCCCAGGCTCAGCTCCCCTCACTGAGACACGGTGACCGCTGGCCCCTCAGCTCTTGTCCCACCCAAGCCTCCCAAGGTGGCCTGGAGCAGGAGGAAGCCTGATGCTCCAGGCACAAGAGAGCCAGCGGGAAGCAAGAGGAGGAGAGAGGAGCAGCCAGGCCTCCCCCACACGCTGCCTGCCCTCCCCCACATGTACACACGCACACTCACAAACATGCACACCCACACACGGCCTGTGGGCTTCCACCTGGAGACTCACCAGACGGTTGTTCTCGAACACATTGTCCTTGGAAAGTGAGTTGAAATCTCTGCAAGAGGCAAGGAGAGGGCTGGTCAGAGAGAGATGGCAGGAGATGATGGGGAGGGGAGTGAGAGGGGAGCGGAGCAGAGGACCTCATCCCAGACGACCTCGGCAAGGCTGGAGGATGGGTCTGCGGCTCACTGACGAGGAAACTGAGGCTGCAGGTGCCTGCTAACTGAGCTGGGGCTGCAAGGCAGAGAGGCAGGGGATGAGCTCAAGGTCCCTGGAGGCATCCAAGCTGAGGTGGGAAATGACTGGAAAGGGCTGGGCTCGGGTCCAAGCTCTCTGGTGTAAGATGCCTTTTCTCGCGTCCTCAGTCAGTGGCACAGACACAGTGAGACCAGGACTGTCACTCGTAGTAACAGGGCACTGCACTGCAGTCCTTTATTGTACTTGCCTCCTTTTCTTTCCTAGTTTCTGCTATAGGATGTGTCCACTCACCCCTGGGAGAATGGCCACACTGCAACCTCTTCTCCTCCACTGTCCTCTCAAGATTTGGGGCACGTTGGGGAGGGGAGGTGGCGTGGTGGTTAAGGGTGCTGGACTCCCACATGGCTGACTGTGGTTCAAGTTCCGAACCTGGTGGCTTGTTTTCTCACTTTCTCCTTCTCTCTCTCTCTTTCTTGCTGTTTATTTATTAAATAAATAAAGTTAAATGAAATAATTCTAAAAAAATTTAGAAAAAGATTTTGGGCACACACACACACACATGCACCCAGAGTGATTCTCAAGCCACCAGGTCCAGGACTTGAACTACAAAGCTGACCATGTGGGATCCAGAGCCTTAACCTCCATACCACCTATGAGCCCCCTTATTTTCATTTTTTAAAGTTTACTTATTTGGGGGACCAGCGGGTGACGTGGTGGTTAAGGTGCTGAACATGGCTGACCACGGTTCGAGTCCCAGACCTGGCAGCTTCCTTTCTCACTTTCCCTCTCTCTTTCTCTCTCTCTGTGTCTCTCTCTAGTCAAATTAAAATAAAATGCATGAATAAATAAAAATAATTTTAAAAAGTTTACTTATTTTGGGGCCAGCAGACCCAGCTCAGTTAGCAAGCACCTGCTGCCTTAGTTTCCTCAGTAGCAATCCACAGCCTGGCGGGGATGATTTCTCACTTTCCTTCTCACTGCTTCTCTCTAGCGAGGACATGCACCCTTTGACAAATACAAAACAAAACAAAAGTTTTACTTCTTCCATGAATAAGAGAAAAGAGAGACAGAATTCCCAACAGGGTCTGGACACCGCACACCATCCCCAGTCTCAGCCAGGCAGGACCAAGGGCACCTGGAACAGCTCCGGATGCAAACCCAGACCTTCCCACGTGGTCGGCACAAGGCTTCACGCTGCACCACAGTAGCAACGTCAGGCCCCATTCCACATACTTTATTTTCACAGCAACTCTATTTAGCAGGCATTTCTCTGATTTTGCAGATGAGGACACCGAGGCCTGGAAAGGGGAAGCCAGCAGCCCTGGGAATCCACAATTCTGGCCCTTCTGCCTCTAACAGGCTTGGAGGATGCACTCACTTGCTGCACCCTGGCCCAGCCCGGCCCAGCCCACCTCGGCCCAGCCCAGCCCAACCCCAGATGAGTGTTTTTCTTAGCAGGGCCAGGAATAGAACAAGTCTGAACCAGGGTAGCAACGCTACACACTGTGGAGCTGCTGGCAGAGGGCTGGCTGACCCCACTGGGTCACTCCTGGGGACAGCTTCCCCTGGGGAGTAACGTGGGTTGCCGGCTTCTGAGCTGGGACAGGTGGGAAGAGGCTGGCCTGCCGGGGTGGGGGGGGGGGGGCCAGGCAGGGACAGCTGGGCACCCGCTGCCTTTATTTATGCCCTCCTTCCCCTTTCCCCCGCACCCAGGCCCCTGGAGGGGCTGAACTGAGCAGAGGCAGCTCAGTAGCCTGCTGGCAGCTGGGGCTGCAGTGCTGGCAGCTGGGGGTGCAGTGCTGCAGCCTTGCCCATGTATGGCTGAAAGCTGCAGCCCCAGGGTGGTTGGCATTCCCTCCAGCTTTCATCTTCCCACCTGGAAGGGATTGGGATCACACTAGTACCACCTCCCAGGCCAGTGAGGGGCAGCCCCCCGCCCTCCAGCATAAGGAAGCTGGCCAGCTCAGCCCCCTCCTCCAGCCTCGTACACTTCTCCAGGCTGAGCCCAGGCAGTCTGACCTCTGGGCCTGGAGCAAAGGTAGCTGAGAGCCCAGGAAGGAATGGGGCGCCCTGGAGGGTAAGGGGGCAGACTATGTCTGAGCTCCAGTGCCCTGGTACCACTCCTAGCCTGCGGCTTCCTTCCAGCCTCAGCCACCCCACTAACGCCTCTAATTCCGTTCTGCCAGTGCCCGAGTGTGACCTGAAGCAAGCTATTTAACCTCCCTAGAAGCCATCTCCTGGTCAGTGACTCTCCTGGTCTGGGACGCTGTGAACAGGCCTGGGGACATCAGCCTCCAACAAAGGCTGTTCCAAAGAGACCAGGGAGACAATAGCAACTTGCCCCTGCTGCTTATCTGGGCCTCCCCAGCAGCGTTCCTGGAAGGCTGGGAGCACTTCTGTCCCCCCTGTCCTCCCAGCTCCCTACACAGTTCTCAGCACTTAGCAGGTGCTCCACAACGATTGGTGAATGAGTAAATTTTGAAAACAGATGGACACTTTAAACGCCCCCTAGATGTGACAGTTTTGCTACCAACTCCCCATTCCCTTCTCTGTCCTTAATCAACATCTGGGTTTTTAATAACACAGATATTATATTTTCTAAACGTTTTCAGAGGCCTGGGAAGTTCTACTTGGCTCTGGGAACGAGGAGGGACACAAAAGTGAAACCCACATGGGTTCAGCCCTTTAGGGACTTAAGGATACCTGAATGGGGCCAGCCAGTAGATGGATCCCACATGGCTGACTCGGTGGTTCGAGTCCCAGACCCAGCAGCTTGACAAATATGCCAGGTATAGATGCATGTGTCCCCAAAATCCTAAGAGGAGAATGGCACGGCCATCTCCCCCTGGAGGTGCTTTCTCACTTTCCTTTTCCTCCTCCCTCTCCCTGGAGAGCACAAACACACTATAGCAAAAAAAAAAAAAAAAAGGAAAAGAAAGAGAGAAAAAGAAAGAAGACACCCAGAAGGGGGGTAAGATGGTGGCAATGGCAGAGTGGTGAAACATGCTCCGTGAGACCAATCCACATAGGAAGTTTCCAGGTTTCTGTCTGGAGACCTTCCTGAGTATGCCAGGCACACCGGTGCCCATGATCCAGGGCTGGCTGGGGATGGTATCGAGATCCTGTTAGGGGTACACTCGTTCTCTCTCTCCCATCCTCTCTCCTGCTTATGGAAAATGTAAATGCATTTTATTTATTTTTTTTTTTTTGGGAGAGGTTTTTGTTATAGGGCGCGTGTGCTCCCCAGAAAGACAGAGAGAGACAGAAAGCGAGAAATTACCCCCCAGGGGAAATGGCCATGCCGCAATCCCTTCTCCTCCATTCTCCTCTTGGGAGCTTGGGCACGCACACACACGTGCCCAGCGTGAGCTTAAGCCACCGGGTCTGGGACTCGAACCACGCTCAACTACATAGGAGTTCAGTGACATAGTCATCACGCTAACTGCTGGTCCCGGTAAATGCACTTTTTAAAAAAGAACGCCTTTATGGGTTAAGATGCTGGATCCCACAAGGCCAATCCACATTTCAAGTCCTGGAACTAGCAGCTTGAAAAACACATTAGGCCCATGTGCGTGTGTGCCCAAAATCTACCCCCAGGGGGTGACTTCTCACTTTCCTTCTCTGTCTTTCTCAAGCAAGTGCACATTGTCCTATGAGGAAAATCTAAAAAAAATTAAAAGCCTGAACAGGGGGGTGGGGGGAGTACGGCCTCCACTGAAGAACCACCCCCAGCAGAGACCTGGGTCAACACTGAGTCCCAGCAGACCCGCAGCTCCAGAAGTGTGAGCCACTTTACGAGGCGATTCCTGCTCTCACCCTCCTGACCCAGCCTACTCTCAAGGTCTTCCCCTACCAACGCTGAGGCCTTGCCCACTCTCAAGTGGGACCCAGGTCTTAGCTTCTCTTCTGTACAATGACCTGGCAGCCCAGGCACTGGCCTCCCCTGCAAAAATGCCTGGATCTGATTCCATCTCTCCTCAGGAGACGAGCCCCCCACACACACTTTCTCAGCCACACCCTTCCACTGCTTAAGACCCACGCGGCGGCATGACGGTTAAGTCGCTGGGTTCCCATGCAGCTGACCACGGTACCAGTCTCGGACCTGGCGGCTTGCTTTCTCACGTTCTCTCTCTATCTCTGGTGAATGCACGTGCCCTATAGAAAACTGGAAAGTGATAATAATAAATAAAATAAAATAAATCATTCTTAATTTAAAAAAAAAAAGCACATGGCTCCCTTTGGCCCCACCCACCCTTCTCAGCCCTCAGCAATGTGACACAGCGGTGTCTCCTGCCTTCAGCTGACTATGCCTTGCTGAGCATGGGCCCTGCCAGCCCTTCCCTCACTGGCACCCCTGGGCTTCTGCCGCCTCCTTGAAGAACATGCTCTCCCAGGGAGGTCTTCCCTGCCTCAGCCCACTGAAAGAGCACCTGGAGACGCCAGCAGGGGGCAGCGGTTAAGGCGCTGGATCCCATGCATCCGCTGAGAGGCTCAAATCTCAGACCCAGCGGCTTGAGAAACACACCAGGTATGTGTGCCTATGCGCCCAAAATCCTGAGAGGAAAATGGAGGAGAAGGGATTGTGGCATAGCCATCCCCTCTGGGGGATGATTTCTCGCTTTCCTTCTCTCTGCCTATCTCTGGTGAGTCCACATGCCCTGTAGTGTTTAAAATAAATAAAGAGCACCTGGAATTATCATCACTGTTTCTACTTCTGTTTCTCCCTATGGAAAGTGGGTAGGCTTTTGTTTTTAAAAGTTTGCCAGAGGGTGCTGGGACACTCTGCTAGAGACAGAGACAGAGACAGAGAAGGAAAGAGAGAGAGCACCCCCGACAGAGCACGGTCACAACCACAAGCCCTTCTCCTTTCTCCATCCTGGTGGGACTTTGGTCATGTACACATGTGTGCCTGGCAAGCTTTTCAAGGCACCAGGGCTGGGATTTGTGGGGAGGGTTTTGTCTGTGGTTGGCTCTTATGGTCATTACCAGGTACAGTGTTCAGCAAGGGATAGGAACTCTATAAAAACCTGTTGAGGGCCAGCCCACGACCTAGAGGTTAAGAGCTCACATGGTCGAACATTTTGAGTTCTGGAGCCAGCAGCTTGAGACACACCAGGTGTGTATGCATGTGTGCCCCACATCACAACAGGACAGAGAAATGGAGAACAGACTGCAGTGTGATTACACCCCACTGGGGTGTGTGTGTGCCTCCCCCTCTGCTAAGCACATATGCCTTCTAGCGATTTTTTTTGAGAGGTTTTTTTTTTTTTTTTTTTTTTTGCTGTAAGGCACGTGCCCTCACCAGAAAGCCAGAGAAAAACAGACAGAAAGCAAGAAATCACCCCTCACGGGGGATGGCCACACCACAATCCCTTCTCCTCTGTTCTCTCGGGATCTTGGGCACGCACGCACAAGCACCCGGTGTGAGTTTAAGCCACCAGGTCCAGGACTCAAACCATGGTCGACTACATGGGAGTCCAGCGACTTAGCCATTACGCTAACTGCTGGTCCCCACTTCTAGCAAATTATTAAGAAAAAAAAATTGTTAAACAAATGAAGATTATTAAGAAAAAAAAAGTGTTAAACAAATGAAGGTAAAAAACACTGTCCCGGGACCATTATGCTGGTCCCACTTTTTTTTTTTTACCAAAGGGTGGGTGCACTCATCAAAGAAATAGAGACAGAAAGCGAGAAATTGCCCCTTGGGGGATGTCCACGCTGCAATCCCTTCTCCTCCAGTCACCTCTTGGGATTTGGGGCACACATGCACAGAAGCCCAGCCTGAGTTTTAAGCCACTGGGTCCAGGACTCAAACTATGGTTGACTACATGGGGGTCCAATGACATCGCCATTTTAATGCCACCTGCTGGTCCTGATTACTATATTTTTAACTTTTACTATAGGGCATTGGTGCTCACCAGAGGGAGAGAAACAGTGAGAAACCAAGCCACCAGGTCTGGGACTCAAACCACAGTTGACCATGTGGGAGTCCAGCACCTTAACCACCACGCCACCTGCTGGTCCCCCTCTTTCTTTTTTTCTGGAGAGCACACACAACCTATAGCAAAATTAAAACAACCAACAAAAACCACTGTCCTCATCACCCTACTGCCTAATAGCACTACTCATAATAACTAATGTTAATTAAATGCTTATTATCTCATTTAATCCTCCCAACAATTCTGTGAGGCAGGTCTTAATTATCAATCCCACCTTCCAGAGAAGCAAGTGGAGGTGCCTGGAGGGAGCCCATGATTTGCCTGAGCCTGCACCCCGATGTCAGGGGACGCTGAACACAAAGCAGGCAGCCCATCTGCAATGCCACATGGCTTAGCTTAACCCAAGTCCCATCTTACGCTATGTCCCATCCTTGCCTCCAGCCTCACTGCCTGCCCCAGCCAAAACGGAAGATCCCTCGCACCCTGGAGCCAGCACAGAGGTCCAATCCCGGGCCCTCCTCCATCCTTCTAGCTCCTGCTCCTAAACCTGTTCCCCAGTCTCGTAGCACAGCTGTCACATGCCCACAGTGGGCAGCAACCCATATGTCATCGCCGGTTCTTTCCCATATCCACACTCACCCCCAAAACCCTCTGCTCCAGGGCCTAACCCGCCCCCAGACACTGCACTGCCTGTTACAGAGCAATTCAGGTACACCGCACCACCCAGTCCCCAAGGATCCTTTCAAAGCCCCTGTGGGTGCTGCCCTTGAGAAGCACAGACCTGCAGGTGGAGGGGAGCTGGGGGTGGGGGTGGCAGGAGGGCTGCTGGGCCAGGCCTGAGACCTGAAGGACCTGGAAACCTCCACTGTTTCATGAATGAACAAACGAATGAAAGGAGAAGTTTCCCGCCCCAGGCCCTGCTCTGAGGGTCTGAGTCCATTTCCCCAGGAGAACCTCACCGGGCAGCTCCGGGCAGGAAGGGGCCATGGCAGACTTGGTACAGCCAGCTGTAGTATCCGCCAGACCCTTTCCACCGCCACTCCTACCCCTCGCCCTGCCCACTCCCCTGCCCCCTGAGGACAGCAGGACACCGTCCACACACCTGGGAGGCGGGGGAGCTGGTGTACAAAGCTACCCAACAGTTATTCACCTAGGGTCTGGTCCGAGCCAGGAACTGTGCACGTGCCCTGGAGACAAGACTCCACTGGGAATCAGAGAAGTTTGGGTTCACCTGGACTCACGGAGCAAGGGAGACCCCAAAGCCAACAGCCTACACTGTGTCAGGGCAGGGGACCGGTGAGCCGGTGGGAGTTTAGTGTAAACAGGTCAGGGTCCCCGAGGAAGGCTCAGTGCCCCTTTGCGGAAATCTGTGCCTGTGGGCGGGATCAGCGCCCCTCGGAGAGGTGAACAGCACGGGGAGACCGGGTTCGGTGCCCCAGTGGGCGGGGTCGGAGCGGCTCAGTGGGGGAAGGGTGCGGGTCGCGGTCGCTCAATGACCTGCAGGGCCCACTGTGGGGTCTGTGTCTCCGTCCCCGAGGGGCGGCGCCTGTCACTGCCCGGGCTCCGCGTCACTGAGGGGGGCGGCGGTCCCCAGTGCCCGCCGCCCGCCCGCCCGCCCGTCCGCCCGCCTTCGGCCCGGCACTCACAGCAGGTCTGGCCGGTGCCGGTGCAGGATGGCGCAGAAGGCCAGGCCGTCCCGGAAGGAGCTGCTCAGGTCGCGGATCTCCACGCCGCTGTAGCCCTCGCACTGGCGGCGGCCGCCGGCCCACC